AACCTGCTCAAGGTCAAAACTGCTAGAAAGTACGAAAGTGCTAGGCATCCAGCTAAGGCAGTTTGAGTCCCAAGCCCATGACCTTAAACACTTCGCTCTGCTACTGCTAAAGTAGTGAGCAAAGATGAGAATTTCAAAGCCAAAGCCCACTGAGATAGGATCTAATTTGAAAAGAGGTTTCCGATAACTCGTGGAAGAGGCCCTAAAGAGTCTTATACTAGGGAGTCTTGTACCCTAAGACTGTATCTCTAGGTAAGATAATGAACTATAGAACTGTATCATTCAAAAGATAGATCTAAGTCAGAATGACTGGACACAGTAACCAGTGAGGGGAGGGGAAAGAATCACAGGCATCTAAGATAGGCTTCCAAATTCCTGACTTGAGACACAGTTGTTCATGGCTTTGACAGGGACCAAAAGAACGGATTGAGGATAGAGAGCTCTATTTGGACAAAATTTCAATCTATAGTGCCATGCACACTAGTTTTGACACATACTGAATTAGGGATGGTCTTGAAGCATTTAGAAATTAAATTTATAGCTCAGAAGAAGCACTATTGGATGGTAGAGTCGATTATAGATAATACATAAAATGAGGTCATGGTGGTAGATTATATCACCCACGCAAATGAGCATAAAGCCTAAGCCTGGAAAGGTTGATAAGAAATACATGGACAAAATCCCTCTTAACTCAAAAAAGTACTGGTGTCTTTTGGACCTGACAAGAGTGAGGTCATATCTTGACCGCAATGATGCTTATTCAGCAAGCTAAAGTGTCCTTAAATGACACATGACAGTACTATGCTCAACTGTCATTAAGTGAACTTTTGGGAGAAACACCTAATTAAAAGCTCATGCTGATGTACCGCATATCATTAATATTATAGCAGAATGTATTGTGGGAATAAGCATGTACAACTAGAAAATTGTCACCTGCCACTCAGAACTGTCCATCACAAAAGACCCTCTCCTGAATTTTTATCAGCCTTAATTTTTCTCAGGTATCTACTTTAACTTCAGTGAACCTGTGCTTCTCTCACCGATCCTATGTCATCTTCTCAGTTCTTAGTTTAAGAAATGAAGAACCTAAGACAACACTTACTCAGGAACCTGACCCAATAACAGCTTTGTCTGTTATTTACTTCTGGTAATGTAAGCAGAAATGTCAGGTGGGATTTTCAGAAGGCTTGTTAACAGTTGCTGTTAAATAAAACTTGTAAGAGACCATCGATTTGGACTGGCCTCCTGCACTGGCCCAATTGCCTAAACTAATAAGGAGATTAAGCATAGTAACTAAACTTTGGTTGGGTTCATGACCTGTAGTGACATTGTTTTCTGTCTCCTATCCATTTTTCTTTTACTTTTTTTTTTTAACCTCAAGGCCTCATACTTGCTGCTGCTTGAGTCATGCCATACAATCCTTTTTATAAATTTTAGTTCAGTTTTCAGATAAGGCCTGTGATCCTCCCATCTCTATGTCTCACATAATTGGGTCTATAGGCATGCACCACTGTACTCAGCTTAACATTCATTTTTCTATAAATGCTATCTGATTGTTCTCAGAATCTGCTCTGGTTCTGACTGCTGCCCAAATGTCAAATCATTTTGGGGGGGGGGTTGCTTTATATAAATTCTATTTGATGTAATTGGTTTAAGGATATTCTCCTTTTAAATGCTAAGTGTTAAATGGATGTGATGGATGGAGGTGCAGGAGCTCCCTTGGCCCTGAGGTGACCTTGAGAATGGAAACTATACATGGAGAAACAGACAAGGCCATGCCCCTGAGGACTCCATAGATCCACATTTCAGCACTAGACTGGTTTATTAAATGTCATTGTAAGAGACATCTTCTGGTATAGGAGTTGAGGGAAGACAGATGACAGACTTGAAGAGGAGGCATGTTTAATGGGAGACATCTCTTCTCAATCAAGGAGTGGCTGAATGCACATCTAGGCGAAGGGAGGGAAGTGGAGGGAACCTGGTGGCTGCTCTGTGCCTTATTTTTGGTGTGACCTGCTCTGTCGTGAATGAGGAAGGTTGATGAGAGAAAATGGAAGGTTACAGCGGAGAACTGAAGATTGGACAAGGACCACAACAGCCACAATGACGATGATAAATGGAATTTGACTTGGGCTGAAGAAAAGAAGTGAGAAGCTGATTAAAAAATTAAAACTCAGAAAAACCTTCTCCCCTCAATATAACTTTTGTATTGTATCACCATTGTGCTGTTTTTAAAAAAAAAAAACCCTACTCTTTCTTTTGGGAAAATCTTTAATGGTACAGTAGCATAATTCAGGATAATATAGTATGGTAATTTGGCAATTTACCACTCATTTGATCTATGTTGTTAGACAGGTCAAATTATTCAGTTTTGTAGTAAAAGATATAGCTGCATAATTATTAAATCCCATTATATTATATAATTACTAGTACAATATACATTGCATTTTGATCACTTGGGCTCCCCAGCTAGGGTAAATTTTAACTGCCCGTGACTACAAACACATTATTTTTATTTGTGTTTTCCATTAGGTGGTAATGAACCCAGAACCTGTCTTTGGTGTGTGCTTGCAGACTGGCAGCCATAGATAGCCAGGGTTAATTGTGACCTTTCTGCTATCTAAAGATACTCAAAATTTTTGTTCTTATTATTAAAGTGTTTGGTTTTTTTTATACTTCATACAGATATTCATTCTTAAATGATACTCGTCCTTAGAGAATTTAGAGAAAAACCTTTCATAATATTTAGCTATTTTTTAAATGTCAGGTACAGTTGAGTTTATTGCTGTCACCAAAGTCTCCTATTTTTAGTGCTATTTAACAGATAGTCAGTAAATTGATAACATTTCCACTGTTGGAAGATTTCCAATCTCCTCTTGGGAATGGAGGGCAGGTGTTTTCCTCTGACTTGTTTTTTTTTTGGTATTTGTTGATTGAAAAGGGATATGTGAACTAAAAAATATTTTAGGGGGATTATATATGTATCCATATATATATATATAGATAGATAGATAGATAGATAGATAGATAGATAGATAGATAGATAGATATATCCATAAAATTTTGTTGACTTTAAGCAGAGTGACATTTTTCATAAGCAGGAGTATTTTAAATACAAAAGGGCAAATACACTGTGAATCTTAGGCACATAAGTTCTTGGAAGCCCCCACTTCTAGAGTACTGGGCACACCACAGAAAATGACATTCAGGATTGGTTACAGAGCCTAGTATGGGTCAGTGGGGAAGAGGGCATGAACTTCATTGCTGGATCCTGCTGGAGATGAGCTTCGTGACTTTAAGCAAATTACTTACCAGTCCTATATTGGATTTTCTTACACATGAAATATAGATAGCCACCCACCCCACCATTGTCCTCGGTATAAATCACCTTGAAGATTGAGCTCTATGATAAGGTCTGTGAATGTATCCCAGGCCCTGATACAAATGTAAGGCAATTTGGGTCTTAAAAGAAATCTTTGCCAGACCCTAGTGGCTCATGCCTGTCTGTAATCCTAGCTACTCATGAGGCTGAGATCTGAGGATCACAATTCAAAACTAGCCCAGGAGAGAAAGTCCACGAGGCTTGTGTCTTCAATTAACCACCAGAAAACTGGAAGTAGCGCTATGGCTCAGAGTGGTAGATTGCTAGCCTTGAGCGAAAAAGCTCAGGGATGGCACTCAGGCCCTGAGTTCAAGTCCTATGACCAACTGAAAAAAAAATTTCTAGAATTTTCTAGGTGAGACAGTGTATCCTGATTTAAACAATGATATAAAGCTAGTATTGACTAGTAGGATCTTTGAAGTCTACAGGACAGAGCCATAGGCCCTCCCTAATCTCATATTCTGCATCCACATTTTCAACCAATCCTGTCAGAAAATATTTGCAAGGAAAAATTTCTGCTATAATGAATATGTACAGACTCATCTTCTTGTCCTTACCCACTAAACAGTAGAGTATAACATCTATATACTAGTTCTAAGTAACCTAGAGATAATTGAATGTATACAGGAGGGTGTGTGGGCATAATAAGTAAATATTACAGTATTTATATAAGAGATTTGAGCATCTACTCAATTTTGGTATCTTCTTGGGAATCCTGGAATTCATCCCCCTCCAAGGGACCAGTTATAGGCAAAGATTAGGTAAGAGGACATTAAAGCTAGATAGTAGCCTTGTATGGCCTTGGATAAGTCATTGTGGTTCAGTTGTACCTAATAAAACAGGAATAATAATATCACAGACTTCGTGTTGCTATGAGAACCAATGGGGAAAATAACAGGTGTAAAGTATATGGTTATAAGCCCTCAGCAGAGTTTAGCTGTGGTGGTTATAATTTCACTTGCTTGCTTTTCTTTTATGATTTGAACTCAGGGCCTCCTACTTGCCAAGCAAGTAGTCCATCATTTGACTACATACCCCCACCCTTTGTGCCTGATTTTTTCAAATAAGGCCTCTTTTGTCCGATGTTGACCAAGACTTTACTCCCCCTATTTACACTTGCTGTGTGTGGTGAGGATGACAGGAGTGCACCACTGCATCCAGCTTTTTGCTGGAAGAGATGGGTCTCACCAACTGTAAGATCCTCCTGATCTCCTCCTCCTGAGTAGCTAGGATTATAGACAGGAGCCACTGCCCCTAACCTCCAGTTTCTTATAAGTAACCTGACATTCAAACTTTGCATTTATTTATACCAAGTTGACCTCCTTCTTCCCAGTTTGGAGGTTTTATTTTGTTTTGAGAATAAAATGTTAAAAAAGAGTAAATTATGTCCTACCATTTCACAGAAACTAGCTTTTGAATTTTTTGCAATTAACTCTGATATCTTCCTTTTTTTTTTCATTAAGTGATTGTAATTGAAGGTTTGTGTAAAAAGAATTGCTACCATCAAAGAAATGTTTAACAGTTGCGATGCATGAAATACACTTAAATTGAATTATAGTACATTTTATTGAATTATGGTTAATATCTTTGTTCTTTTCCCTTTTTTTTTTCTCCTCAGCTCTCACTTGAAGTTTAATAATCTCACCCTGATTTCAACTCATGGACTCCCAGGGAAAAAACCATACAGTGAAGAAAGGAAATTTTTAGCAAGCGAGTATGAATACTTCATTCTGAAGCCTATGTGTCCTAATTTGTATACATTGTTTTTATGCTAAATAATAAGATTCAGTCAGGAAATAGAAGGGCAAGGGACAAGAAGGCTTTTCTCCTAGAGTCCAGGAATTATTAGGAATTCAAACTCAGCATGTGAGTGGCCCAGAGTGGCAGCACTAGGCCACCATTGGTATTTGCAGGAAGACAGCTGCCTTATTCCCACAACAGAGCCTGTGACCCAGCCATCCCTGTTTTGAGTTCTGAATGAGACTACAAGGTAGTGTAGCTTAGTAACATCACTGGTGATGGTACATCACACACACACACATACACACCAGTTTGTAACCACAGATTCACCAGGCAAGCTCACTGTTCGAGTCCAGAACCAGTCCAGGAAAGTTTTATTGTTTTTATCCCAATAGACTTACTAGTTAACAACATCAATCTTTTTTTTTTTTTTTTTTTTTTTTGTCGGTCATGGGGCTTGAACTCTGGGCCTGGGCGTTGTCCCTGAGCTCTTCAGCTCAAGGTGAGTGCTCTGCTGCTTGAGCCACAGCACCACTTCTGATTTTCTAGTGGTTTATTGGAGATAAGAGTCTCACAGTTTCCTGCCTGGCCTGGCTTTGAACCATAATCCTCAGATCTCAGCCTCCTGAGTAGCTAGGATTACAGGTGTGAGCCACCAGCGCCCGGCTGACAACATCAATCATATAGATCCTATTTCATTATCACACCACTTCCATTCATTTTAATTCTTGGTAGCAAAAAATTGGTACAGAAGTAGGAAGTTTCTTGCTTCTGGAAATCATCTCCCAGCATTTCAAATAAAGATAGATGAAACTGTTCTCTCCTGGGATGGGAAAAGGATATCACACCAGAATTCTTGATGAAGACATCCTCTTTCCCCTGTGCAAAGGACTTGCTTTGCCTTCTACAGCCTCCTTGCCAGTAAAACCAAGCCCAGGTGTGTTGCTGTTGTTGTTGTCATTGTTGTCTGCAATGTAAGAGATGGAACACAGGGCCTCCCTTGAATGTGTACTGCTACTGAGCTGCATCGCCAGTGCCCACTTTTATCAGGCTTGTTTTCTAGAAGAATGACATGAGGAACAGTGAAGTACAAGGACATGAGATCTGAACCAAGAGAATGCTGCTCCCTCCAAGTCCTGCCTTTACCTCCCACCATCTAGACAATGAAGTTCATTTCTCTGAGCTTTGATTTTCTTGATTGTTAAAGAGTATGCTAAGCCAAGCTTGCTCGATTTTTGGTGTTGTTGATGGTGTTGTTGATGTTGTTGTTCAAATCAAAGCAACTTCAAATCCTGACACATGGATACTACTACCTTCCTTCATGTTTCCCTCTTTCTGAATTACATGATTCCCAGGAAGTGCTGGTGTGTTGGCATCTTAAAAGGAATTTCACTCAGTCGGCTTAGTAAAAATTTCTGTCTGTCCCCTTGTTGGATGAGGAGAGGGCAATGTAAAGGGCTTTCTGTGAGTATGACACCACAGAGATAGACCTAATGTTTGATGGGAGTCATCTGCCATCCTTGCTTCTATTCTTTCCTCTCTGCAGTCTCAACATGGTCACCACAGCAACACAGCAGAACTGTGACTCAGATCATCAACTCCTTACTGCCCAGAACTGCACTGTCCAAAGCAGTAGTTAAAGCCACATGGGACTACTTAATTTAAATTAATTACAGTTAAATGAGATGAAAAATTCAGCTCAGTCACATTAGCCATATTTCAAGTGCTTAAATAGCCGCATATGGCCAGTGGCTACTGTACAAGCTCAGTTCCAGAGCATTTTCATCACCACAGAATGTTCTAGAATGTTCTGAGCTAAAGTCTGTCCTTTTCTATTCCTTGATTTCCTCTTTTACTATCTTTTGCTCATCTCTAGCCACATCAGTAACCCCAATGTTCACTAAACAGAACAAGCAAGTACTTATATTAGGGGTCCTGGCTTTTTTCCCTCTTAATAGACTGTCATTTTTTCCATGAGGCCTACCCAGACTCCCAGATTACCCTATTCATTTGTGAACAACACTCTTAACACACTTGGCTCTATTTTTTTTCTTGCTTCTGAAAGTCTTCTAAACATTTTGGAAATTGCCATTTGAAACTGTGTTTACTCTATACACTCCAAATCCTTCCATTTTATTGTAAACTCTTCAGGCAGGAATTTTGTCCATTGATATGTTCACAGTATTGAGCCCATAGCAGACATTTAATAATGCAGAATACATGAAAGTTACCTTCAAAGAAACTGCAAAAAACCATCTCTATCAACTAGGGGACACATCAAACCCAGCCAGATCTATCTGCCTGGATAACCTCCTGTCACCTTAATTCTTAGAAACCACAGATTGGGTTATGAACAGGATGTTCTTTTCTTAAATTTCTTGTGCCCTAATAAAGGAAATTGTCTCTGGTCACAGAGTTTAAAAATAATAAGTGAAAATGACATCCATGGATTTACTAATTTAAATTCCTCATCCTAAACACTAATTTTGAACTTGTTCTTAACCAGTGTTTTGCTTCATTATTATTGTTATTATTTTTAATAGCCTTTTTTGCTCCCCCCATCTCTGATGGTGCTGAGGATATGCCTGGGATCAGCTGAAAGGAAGGTGCCTGCAGGGAGAGAAACGGGAAGCAGGAGAAAGCCACTAATTGGACAATCATCCCCGAATAATTGAAAGCTAATTGCAGTGGTCCTTCTTCTGAGAGTGTCATAACTAATCCTTTCTGAAAAACCTCTAAGTTTCTTGCTAGTTCTGAAGGGTCTGATTCCATGAGGTGCAGGTCTTATCCTTGCTCCCCCAATCTGGCTTCCAGTTGGCCCTTCTCACCATGAGGTTCAGGGCCCATTACATCCTTGAAGAAGCAGGCCATACCTCATGCATGCCCTCTGAAATTTCCCCAGTCTACTTTTATTATCTCATTATCTGTCCAGATTGTCCCATGAAGACAACTTTTCACTTTGGTTCTTTTTTTCTACTTCTAGGGATCAAACTCAGAGTCTCAGGCACTCTACCACTGAGCTACATTACTAGTTCCCTTTCCTGTTAAGCTTGCTTGGGAAACATGAAATTTCATTGATGGACTCTTTGTTGGTCCTTCTCTCTTCTCCAGAGAATCCTGGTAGAGGTTTGTCTCTGCATCACCCATCAGTGAGATAGTCCTGACTGTGTTAGAATTTTAGTACTTATTAACTCTGCTTCAGAAATAATTTGAGGGACATATCCCAGCGGTCTCTGATAGATAGATTCACTCACTTGGGAAATTGAAGACAGTTCAGATGGATAGTAACATCTAGAAAGAACAGCCTCCACTTACCCTGTGGCATTTTAAACAGAGAAATGTCAATGTAGAAACAGATCATGAAATGACCTGCCCATGCTCTTCCACACTGCCTTTGGTATGTGAGTAAAGGTTCCTAAAAATCAGTTCCCATTGGACACAATTTCACATTGTAACTCTGAAATGTACATTATGACATTATCAATTATTCTAACACTAATCTACTACTGTCATTGAAAATAGCATTGTCTTAGCCTTCCACAAATTTTCCTGGACATCTTGTATCTCTCTCAGTGATTTCTTCTGCCACTAATCCCTATGCACTAACTATATTTAATTTTTCCTCATCTTGGGCAGCTTATAGTAGGGACTGTATAACAAATAAGGATCATCCTTTGTGTGTCTCTCATGAATGTTGGCATCAGTGAAGTTACCTGTATTCTTGTAAAGCTATCAAAATGGTTTTTAAAGAAAATCTCATCTCACTATCCATTACTGGGCTGTGAAAGACCAGACCCTGTTTTTTTTTTTATTAAGGAGAAATTTTCTTGTTTTTAAGTGTTGTTTCATGGAGAGATACAAAGCCCAGAGCTCCCATTTCTTTCACAGGTTCTGTAACAGAGTCTAATGTGCATCCATTACTAGAATTCTCTTTGTGTGGTGAGACTAGACTTGTATGTGGATCAAAAAGGAAAAAATGTCCTCCCATTACTCCTTCAGAATTCTGTTTGCCTCCAAAGAGAGTAAACAGGATTATGTATCATTAATATCATTTAGAATAATACCCTCCGCATATGCATCCCACTTGACAAAACAGCGTCTCCTATATTCTCATGTCCATTCCTTACAATGGTGGAGACATGTAAGGTGGGCTCATTATCCTGTGGGTGAGAGGCCAGGAAATTGGGTTATGCAGGGTTCCTGGGGTCCAGGCTCATTGACAAAAGATATAGACCCTGTCATAATCCATGCAGCCTAAACTTAAATGAAATGGTACTCTGTGTCCAATCATCTTAGACTCTTCAGACCAAAATCATAAAATATCCTTTCTACAAGGCCAAATCTTTCAGAAAATTCTGCAAATAACCCTTGGAGACCTTAAACAGACCCTAAGCCACAGGAACCAATTCCTGTCATAACATAGTCGAGAGCTCAAACTCAAGAGAAGCCTGAAAATGAAGGCCCATGCAGCTACCAGTATCCTCAAACCTAGAACTCATCTCTAACCTGGGCCAGCTATATATATACAAATACCTGTTCCCTACAAATCACCTCTGTGCAGAGTAACCCCAAGTCTCCAGGGATTGTACTTGCTGTAAAATTAATTCCCTCATTGACACCTTCTTAAAGTATGTGTGTTGTTATGACACAAAACCACACACTAATTCTAAGGATGGGTCATTTATGGGAATGTATTAGCAAACAGGAAGAGTTCTCAATATTATAGGTCTGGGTCCCCTGCCTTTAGGAGTGTTCCACAGTGTCACCTTCTTCATTCCTTTTGAGTCTATGGCCAGAAGGACAATTTAACAGCTAAAGTGTATTTATAATCCCATGAAATAAAAGCACAAGAAAGAGTCTGATTTTACTCTTTCTTTCACACTCTCCCCCTCCCTTTCTTTCCCTCCCCCTCCCTTTCTTTCCCTCCCCCTCTCCTTTTCTCTCCCTCCCCCTCCTCCTCTCTCTCTGTGGGCTGGCCTGAGCCAGGTGGAACAATTCAGCTTTAATGGGAAGATGTCAATTTATGACAAAGTGTTTTGTAACGAAAAATCTAGTGTGAGCTCTGGTAAACTCACAGCAAGAGCACAGACCCAGCTCACTAGGGGACTTGAACCAGCTCACCAGATGTCTAATTAATGCCCGCTGTCAGCTGCTTAAATGTCACTGATGGAGCTTCTCTCTTTGCAGCCACTGTTTTAATGATAAAGATTATGCATTGATGTCACTCTGCTCCTGGGTTAATGTTGTGGTTGGTAGAATGATTGCCATAGACCGAGCAGCCAAGCAAATCGTGCTTTCCCAGGATGAAATCGTGTTCTACGACCACCTCATTCTCTGTACTGGGCAGCAGTACCAGGTAAGCCCTGGCATCGGGAGTGCCAGTGGTGTGTTTGGAGATCTCCAGGGCTAATATGTTTACTAGGACACATGCTTTCTGGGTACAGAGTATCCCTTCTTGCCCAGACAGCTGCCACTCTATATTCATAAAAGTGCTCTTCAGGGCCGGCACACACGACCAGAATTGTATCTGCAAAACCCTCCCAGAAACCCATTCCAAGAAAAACATTCTGCTCAAGGATCAAAATCACAGCAAGTTGGAAAAATGTCACTCTTGAAGCTGTTGTCCCAAAGTCTAACACTTATGGCTCATCATAGCAGAATCCAGACACAACCAAGCATGCATTTGTGGTAAATTAATTTATGCCTCAAGAGGCTAACATTTGGCTGGGGCGGTGCGCTCACGCAAAAGTATTTCAAACATGCGCACCTTCTGTCAACCCTTATTTTATTTTGTCTCTCAGTTACAAAACTAGGAAATCAGATTGACTGGTTTCCAGTGACCATGCTTTCCGTCTCATTACTCTCTCAAGACACATTTGAATAAAGCATGGCTGGATAGAATGGGAGCTGTTCGGTGTGGTAGGGCAGCAGATTTTAAGATGCCCATTTCATAGTGCAATTAGCATTTCCTGGGGTCCCCTAAGTAAGGTACCTCTCCAACAAAAACAGATTTACTTTAACAGAAGAATAGGGTCATCACTGGGTGCTCATGGCTCACTCCTGTGATCCTAGCTACTTGGGGCTGAGATCTGAGGATCACAATTTGAGGCCAGCACAGGCAGGAAAGTCCATGAGAGTCTTATCCCAATTAACCAGCAAAAAGCTGGAAGTAGAGCTGTGATTCAAGTGGTAGTTAGTATGTCAGCCTTGAGTAAGAAAAAGTCAAGGGACGGAACAGAACTCCCCCCCCCCCCCCCCCAGAATGGAAACCTATTCTAATTCATGACTGTGGATTCTGGCAGGAACGCGTGCATATATTTCTTTTACATTTTCAAGCTGGGGGAGGCAGTATATGGAGGAGACAGACAGGTTCCCAGCCCACATGACATCACCACATGAGCTAAGCAGCTCTGAGCACCACTTAGCCAGTGTCCTCTGTCTCTTGCAGTAACTGTCCACAAGTCACTTGAGCTTAGCTGGGGTGCTTTGAAAATATATCTATGCCTAGAATAGCCTATGTTCCTAGAAACTTTTTAAATCCTATGCCTTAGAGCAACATTTCTCAAGCTGCTCTGTACTTGTCCAGCCCCCAGGCCTCCACTAAGAGGTAGATTCTGAACTGGAAGCCTGGAGGCGACAAGCTCCTTAGCGAGACTGATAGGTTGTAGCTGGATGAATCTCTCAATTTCTTGTCCTTTTAAAAAAAAATAAGGAAAAATAAGGAAATCTCATTCCCAAAGAGCAGAAGAGGATTATTTTTTCTGGTTACAGGATAAAAAAGAGCTGAAGGAAGAACTCGTGTTGCTGTATAAGTTATCTCTTTTCCTTTTAAAACATTAAACAGAAGGCAATACCACACAGCCCTCCAGCTTGTCCCCCCTCACCTGCCCAGTGAGTTCCAGCTGCTGCCCCAGACTGCGTACTTTGGAAACTGAGCAGGAGACCCAGGCAGCTGTCCAGAGACTGGGGCATCTGCCCATGTGTGTCCAGCTGCCCCTGCAGCTTTACTTTGTGGCACATTAAGCTCTTGCCCTTTTTACAGTGAGAAAAATGAAATGAAGAAGTGAGAAAAGGAGTTCCAATTTAATTTCTCCAGAAGGACATAAAAATCAAAGGTACATAGAGTGATACAGAAAGGGCAACTAAATTCACTAGGGACCAGCTAGCTCTTATTTCTTTTTCCATTTCTTTTACTCCAGGTCTCTCATGGTTTTGTCCCAATTTATTGAAAGAAAGATAATGAAAATAAAGCTTCACCCCAAAGCAAGAAGACAATGTGGTATAAAATATAATTACAACCCTTAACTTCTAATCAGATCTTTAACGTGGCATGCCTTGCGCTAAAATATTCTGTAAGATTTCTGTGTCCACATATCATATTACCCTTAATTTTTTTAATCAGAAAAAATGTGTGCACATGATAGAATCTTAAATGATATTTCAGGGCTGAGAGTGAGGAGGGCTGGTCTCTCTCCTACCTTACCTACTATCTCCATCCCAGCAAAAGACAAAACAATGACTTTAGTTTCCAGTAAGCTTGACATGAGTTGGCATTGCAGTATGGTCTTCAAAAGATTCATAATATCAAGACTAGGTAAATGAAAGCATGGTAACCAGAACAGGGTATCCTCAGGCAAGTATCTGCTATGACCTAGCTGGGCAGAAGAGCTTTCTACACTATGCCTTCCGCTGGGAAGAGAGACACTCCTCCTTGTTGTCATTTAACAGCATCTAGTAGGAATGGACTTCACTATGAGGATGATTAAAGGTGAACATGATAGCTCAAAGTCAAAGAAAAGTGGCTTTTTTGAAACACAGCTGAAGTTTCTCTAATAATGGTCTCATCTGAGAGCTGAAATCTTTGTCTTGTCTCCTTGAGTCTAGGTAGGCTTGCAACAGTAATTTAAGAAAACTTTCCTTACCCAAGTAAAATATTGTCTAATTAATTGATTCTAAGCAAAGTTAAAGAAATTCCTTTTCTTAGTTAGACTCTGACATTTCTCATACAAAATGAGACATTTCTCATTATCTCATGAGAATGAAGGGGGGAAATGAACAAATTCCAGATGAAAACTGATTACTGAATGCTCCTCTCTTAAAAAAAGAAAAAAAATCCAGATGAATGAAGCAGGAATTTAAAAAACATGACTCCTTAGTGTTAAATGACAAATAACAATGAAACTCTACAGAATTTTGGAGAAGGTATGATGAATCATTACATGTACCCCTGAGTCTCTCAAATTTGAAGATAACAGAAAGCCATTCTTTTATGTGCTCCAAATAACTATGACAGAAAAGTGAGAGTTTTGCAATGGTGTGAGAGGACAGGTGGCAAGCACTACAAATTATTTTAAAAAGTAACTCTTGTCTGTCTGAATTGGACTACAAAATAGAAAATGATGGGCTGGGAAGGTGGCTCAGTGGTAGAGCGCTTGCCTTGAGCTGAAGAGCTGAGGGACAGTACCCACCCAGAGTTCAGGCCCACAACCAGACCCCCCAAAAATTTTTTTTAAAAAAATAGAAAATGATTATTCAATTTACTAGAAGGTGATGTGCTAAAGGAGGAACTTGTAAGTGGGGATGCTAACGTATGTTGGTGTTGACTCATAAGGGAATAATGCTAAAGAATGCTTTTGAGCCAGGCACCAGTGGGTTATGCCTGCCTGTAATCCTAGCTACTCAGGAGGCTGAATGAGATCTAAGGGTCACAGTTTGAAGCTAGCCTATACAGGAAAGTCTGTGAGACTGTTTTCTCCCCAATTAACCAGCAAAAAGCCAGAAGTGGTTCAAGTGATAGAACACTATCCTTGAGAAAAAAAGCTAAAGGACAGCACCCAGGTCCTGAGTTTAAGTCTCTGTACTGGCACACACGCACATGCGCCGTGCACGCACGCACGCACACACACACACACACACACACACACACACACACACACACACACACACACACCATACACAAAGAATGTTTTGAACAACTTAGAAAGATTCAAAAACTGGAGAACATAAAAGTGAAGTGAAAGTACAAACCAGGATGGCATAAGAGGAAAATTAAAATTATGACAGTGAGTGTTATTATTTCCAACTACCTTGTTAAACAATCAGGATTATTTTTTACACTAAACACAACATGCAAGGGAAATTCCACATCAAAATGACACCAAAAATGTCCAAGTACTGTACATAGCTACAAGTATACAGCAAAGGGCTTATGTGAGACAAAGTCACAAGGACAGTGACATTAATACCCAGCAAAGGAAAGCTGGGGGAAAGAGAGCATCAGCAGTGACCATAAAATGGATGATGACCATAGAGATCATGAACCCATTACCTCCTGAGTGTGACGCTCTCAAAGGATATATCACAAGTACAGTTTTTTCCTGTTGGTTACATTTAAAAAAGAGGGGAAGAACAACCTGAGGTATATCCAGAGGCTTGAAGTTATTTCATATGTTTAGACACAAGAGTCAAGATTCAGAGTGGCCAGGATGAACAACCAGTCTTCAAACCATAGAAGGCTTTTCATGTAGAAAACAAATTAGATACATACATCTGGAACCCAGGAAACAGATTTAAGACAGTCTACTAGAAAATCATAGGTATACTATACAGTACTTATTCATCCTAAGAATACAGCTTCCTAACTCCCTACCCCTAAGAAACAGCTTTCTAATAGTCTTAAAGTCTATTCTAAATGGGAATGGCCAAACCCAGGAGGCAGGAGCCTGCTGTCCTCAGAGCCCTTATTAATCAGGCAGAGTTCCCGAGGGCAAGTGAATGTTTTCTATGAGATGTGCGTGGTAGCTGATGTAGCCCTACAGTGACACTAGATTGGTGCCGTCTTCATCCCTATTTTAAAGATGAAGGAGCCATGGGCTGGGAAGCTGGCTCAGTGGTAGAGTGCTTGCCTCACGTGCATGAGGTCCTGGGTTTGATTTCTCAGCACCACATAAACAGAAAAAGCTAAAAATGGTTCCATGGCTCAAGTGGTAGGGTGCTAGCCTTACGCTGAAGAGCTGAGGGACAGTGCCCACGCCCAGAGTTCAGGCCCCATGAGGAAGCCAGGCAAACCCAAGATGAGGTAATGTACCCAACTTCTGTTTCTACTGCTGAGCTCTTCCTGCTTCACAGACCTTAGTCCTCCCGCCAATAATATGTAAAACATCTAGTATAGAGCTCGCACCGAAGGTCCCAAAGTTGCCTTTCTGCCTTGCCCCCTGTGCTGGACACTTTTTTTCCTCTAGAACTTTTCTACACGATTGCCAGACAAAAGGGCCAAAATAGTAGCTCAGGAGGCAAACTCAGGTTACAGTGCTGTTTTATGTGGCTCTCGCAAAGTCTTTTGTTTGATTTTAATTTAAACAGGAGTAATATAAACAGAACCTCATGGGTCTGACATTAATTGAAAAATCAGATCTGACCATACTGGACCTGTGTTCATCTGTGAAGCTGCGTTGTGACCAAATGCTTTGGCCGAAACATGTACCCTCTGGTTTGCTAAGGGAATTTTCACATGGAAGATAAGTGTTGGCTATCATCCTTTATTGTGATTTCACAGTTGCTTTCTCTACAGTAGAGAAGTTTTAGCTTCCACTCCCCATCTATATCAAAAGTGGGAGAACAAATGTTATATTGGGAAGATCCTGTATTGAGATCCTGTGTTGCTATAGTTTTCTGCCTAGTACCTTTGTAAACTTGAATTTTAGCCCCTGGTAGAATTGTTTCTGTGACAGATTGTTTTAACCAAAATAACCATATCAAATCCAGTTCCATCTCCTTTTCTATACCTTTGCCATTCTGCATGAAGAAGTGAGGAATAGATGGAATCTCTTGACCCCAAGAAGGGTCCCTATGTGTGCCTCCATGAATAGAATATGGTGTGGGACACAGCTCAACTTCCGGAACTAGGCTAGAGAACATAGAGCTCTCTGTACAGTTCTTTCTTTCCCTTGGGACATTTAGTGTCCCTTAGGAGTCAAGTGCCATGTTTTTTGTTTATTTGTTTTGCCAGTGATGGGGCTTGAACTCAGGGCCTGGGCACTGTCCCTGAGCTTCTTTTGCTCAAGGCTAGACCTCTACTATTTGAGCCACAGCTCCACCACTTCCAGCTTTTTTCTGTTTATGTGGTTCTGAGGAATCGAATCCAGGGCTTCATGCATGCTAGGCAAGCACTTTACCACTGAGCCACATTCCCATCCCCAATGAGTGTCATGTTTTAAGGAAGCCCAAACCACACAACAAGCCCACATGTAGGCATTCCAGGCCACCATCAGCATCAACGGCTAGACAGACAATGACATCTTGTCTCTAAATGGTCATCCTTCCTATTTGCTTCCTTGATGTTTTTCTCCTTTCAGTTGAAGCCTAATTAATTATATGTAGGAACAAACTAATACTTACCTGTATTGAACATTACTATGTATACTTCATTTTCTCTTAGCTATGTCAGAGCTTCATCTTTCACCACTGCAATAAGAATTTCTCTAACTTATTTCAGGTCCCATGTCCTACGGGGGTGGATCTTAGTGAACACCCCACCAACAGAGAGGTTGCTGAGCTCAGTAAGCAGCGGTACACTGGGAAAGTTCCTCCCAATCTTTTCATTCTCAATGATGAGGAAGATTGCCTTAATGCCCTGACTTGGATGAGGAATAATTCCATCATCACAGAAGGTAAGGATATTGGTAACCGTGCATCTTTTCAGAATAGTGTTTTATTTTTATAATGAGTCTCATTCTTCATCTAGTTCCAGTATATAATTAGTGCCTAATTAATTCTAACCAAATCATTCATCTGTCATGCTTTGTTTTCCAGATTAATTTACAACTTGTTGTCATTTTTGGATACCCAGCATGTTTGCTGAGGGAAAGAAAAGGCTTGAGATAGTTTAATTATCTATAATTATTTTATTACACAAAATGAATATCCAAAGAGCAAAGCATGGCTAAAATCATTAACTAATTAAAGAATAATTTAATAAGCAAACATGTTTAGCAATTATATGGAAAATATGTGTCCTTTTGTGAAGCTCAAAAGACTGAGGAAGAAAAAGAAAGGCCTGCATTGGAAGGGTTCTTTCTTCTTTTTCTAGCCCATTGTTCTCTTTCTTCCTGTTGCCTGTACAATCCTTCCCACAAATTCACATATTTAAGTTGCAGACCACTTTTGAATCAAAATTGTACAAATGCTTCCTTCACTCAAAAGCATTTGCTCAAGAATGGACTTCTACACTGCCTGTATTTCATTGAAATTACAATCAGCATAGGGCCTAGATACCTATGTGTCTGTACTTTTAAACCTGAAAGTCAAGCATTGATGGTGATACTTTGTGTCCAGCCACTTTATATTACATAAAGCCAGAGAGTATTGGTGACCTAGGTAAATACCAGAACTGTAAGAGCTGAGATTAGGGTCCTGATCTCCAGTAGGGGGCCAGGGATGTAAAGAATTGTACATGCCCAGAAAGTGGAACATCACTGTAAAAATAAATATATTTATCTAAATATAGATAATTCCATTTATTAAGATAATTAGTATATTAATACAATAAAATAAATACACTAACTCACATAATACATCAGTACAACTATTATAATAAAAAAATATAGTTTTGAGCCAGAGGCCTAGCTCAAATGGTAAAGTACCTACCTAGCAAGCATGAAGCTTGGGGCTTGAACCCCAGTACTGGAAACCAGGTGTCAGTGGCTCTTGTCTATAATACTAGCCTTCTCAGAAGGCAAAGGCCTGAGGATCCCAGTTCAAAGCCAGCCCAGGAAGGAGAAGTCCGTGCGACTCTTATCTTCAGTTAACCACCAAAAAGCCAGAAGTGAATCTGTGGCTCAAGTGGTAGAGAGCTAGCCTTGCGCGCAAAGGGCTCAGACACAGAGCCCTGGCCCTGATTTCAAGCCCCAAGACTGGCAAAAAGTTTAAAAATACGTTACTAATAAACTTTCTAATTTTCATTTACTAAATTACTAATTTAAAACTTAGGAGTGTATACCAAATCATATTTGATCCATAACTAGATCCCATTTGCTAATACTTTATGGGCTATTTGCCACTGAATGAAAGAGACTGGTATGGAGTTGGAAGCTTTCTGTATTTGAGGTGGACTAAAATAAAAAGTAATTTAAAGATTGGGCAAGAATATAAAACCAAGTGGATCTGGTACCTTTGTGTAAAGTTACACGAGCAACCCAAATGTAAAAATTGCCATAAAGTATTTTCATATTTGCATTAGAACTTGGTAATACTTTCAGCTCTGCAATTACATATATTTTAACCTGCTTTCACATTTTATCCATTCTTTAATAACTGAGCATAGAGCTCTTTGTACAGTTCTCTCTCTCCCTTGGGACATTCAGTGTCCCTTGGGAGACAAGGGTCATGTTTTGAGGAAGCCCAAGCCATGCAGCAAGCCCACATATGGGCATTCCAGGCCACCATCAGCACCAACTGCTAGGCAGACAAGGCCATCTTGTTAGTTGTGAACACATACTCAGCGTGTTTTCTGGGGGAAAGAAACAGACCTATGCAGACTTCAGGATGACTTTTATGCAGGGGAGTGTCTAATCTAGAAGCCCAGCAAAACTTTTATTCTAAAATGTCAGATCAGAAATAGTCAGACTTTGGAAACTTCATGGTATCTGCCGTTGCAGCAAGAAAGCAGCCACAAAAATACATAAATGCATGGGGATGGCTGTATGTCAATCAAACGTTATGAAATTCACAAAAACAAGTGGCAAGCCATGTTTGCAGATTCCTGCTTTTATCCGTAGAACGTGTGGCAAGTCATTACACTGCAGCAAGCCCACACTGAAGTGTAACTTCAACAACTTGAAAGCATAAAGCATTCCATGCGTCTTAGAATCATGCCCAATCCCAAGAGCCTTCACTGCTTTAATCTTGAACTTGGAATGAATTTGGGAGCCAGAACTAAAAGGTCTTTTGTTTATTTGTTTAAGATAGTGTCTTGCAATGGAACCCAAGCTGACCTCAGACTTACTGTGTAGTTCAGGCTGGCCTCAAACTCACAAACCTCCTAACTGGAACTCCTGAGTGCTGGGATTACAAATGTGTGCTTACCTAAAGAGCATCTTGACCAAGAAAAAAAGTCTTTAAAAGTGAACAGTGCAATCTCTTATGATTGAATGTTGATAGCAGAGGATTTAGAAATGGATGAATAGAAATCTCAAGTATCTTTTCCTTTTCCCTTCTGGTTCTCAGAAGGGGAAGAATGTCAGTGCATTCTATGGACTTGACGGGTGGTGAGTGACCGTGATTCTCCAGTACCTACTTGAAGGGAAAGGCTTTTAAGAGATTTTTAAAAGTCTCCCAACAGCTACCCTATAAAGCCACTCTGAGTGCCTACTTTTGTCCACTGTACAGCTAGGATAAGAAATATGTGGAAATTAGTTTTTTCTTAAATATAGAGAATGTTCCCCATGTCTTATGCTTAGTGACTCTTTGGGGCATCTCCTAGGTAGGTGTTCTTAACACGCAGGTGCTGAGACCACCAGACTCAGAGTCTGAAAAAGACTGAACCAGCCAGCTTAGTTAAATTCTGTATAGAGGTCTTTCCAAATGACTTCTCATGTGAGAAAAGTTAGAAAGAAAAGTATTACCTCCTGCCTTCAGGAAACTCTCTTTGTAGCTTTGCCATAATCCAAGTCATATTCAAACATGACTTTAATTAGTCCCATACAGCTCTTACCCCTGCAATTGTTTTCCTGTCCTTTCCTCCAGCCCCCTGGTCCTCTCTTCTTTACCCAGCCCCCCCCATCGCAGTACCACTGGGTCACAGTCAAAACCCTAGAGCAGAGCAAGCTTTTTTAGGGTAGTCACTCCATTGACTGCAGAAAAGCCTCCACAGATGATAGTCTGTGAGGCTTCTAGGAAATACAGGACAGAACGGACCCAGCAAATAGGTAATCTCCAGATCTCCTAAACATACACCCTGGGCTCTCCAGGAAGGTGGCAGTATTTTTAGCAGGGAGGGGAGATCCACTTAGAAATATGTATTTGTGCCAACCTGAGTCACCTTGATGACTTCTACTTCCTAAATGAGACTTTGGCTGTGCAACTTAAGAGTCTCATCTCTGGCAATTCAAATTCCTTCTAACACTGTAGGGGACCCAGTGGTCTTCCCAGAGCTATACTTTGAAAGGAATATAATTGATTTGCTTCTGAGACATCTAAAAAGCTATTCTTTATGGATCTTCAAGCTACTTTTTTGAACACTGGAGCTCTAATTTATCTAATTGTATCTTGCACCATGGCTGGTATGCAATAGATGCTAAATACATGTTTTAGTGAATATATGTGAAGGCAGCCCACAATGATTCTTTTTTTTTCTTTTCTTTTTTGGTACTGGGGGATCAAACCCAGGATGTTGCACTTGCTGGGCAAGCGCTTTGCCACTGAGCTACATCCCAGCCCACGCAATGACTCTTTTCCTCTTCCTCCCCTCATCTCATGGGGAGTCTCATCCAAGCATTTTATACTCAGCCTAACCTGGTAATTGACAGCCAATCACAATAAAGACAGGAGAACTTTGGCTGAGATGGAAGACATTATTTTAAAAATTCCTCAAGCAAGTAGTAAATACATGGTCTGAGCATCATCACGAATACACATTTGTCAAAGCAATCTAGTTCAAGCTCTGGAATTGGTAGTCTAGGTCCAAATTTTGGATCATTTCCTTGGATAATTTCCTTGAACAGGCTGTTAGGGAAATACAGTGAGAGAAATAAGATATCATTTGCCATAGTCAGGAGGGTATTTCAGCTAGGGGAAGAGTTCAGTAAATACAAACTGAGTATTGTAAATAATATAAACTGAATCTTGTAAGATGACACCCTTCACCACAGTTTCACTTTCCAAGTCGCCAGTTATTTCTAGACAGCTAAAAATATTAAGTGGAAATACTTAAATAGTCTGGAACTGTTAGATGGAAATTCTCAGGTGCTCCTATTCTGAATAGCATGATGAAATCTTATGCCTCCTTGCCAAGGGACACAAGTCTTTGTCCAGTGTAGCCATGTTATGTATGCTACTTGCTTGTTAGTCACTCCGTAGACTTCTCTGTTCTCAGAACAACTGTTGTAGTATTGCAGTACTTGTGTTCAAGTAACCTTTTCTTAGTCGGTCATGAGGTTTGAACTCAGGGCCTGGTACTTTCATTCAAAGCTAGCACTCTACCACATTGAGTCACAGCACCACTTTTGGTTTTTAGGTGGTTAATTGGAGGTAAGGGTCTCACAGTCTTTCCTGCCCAGGCTGGCTTCAAACAGCGATCCTCAGATCTCAGCCTCCTGAGTAAATAGGAATATAGGCATGAGCCACTGACACCCAGCCAACTAACTGTTACTTTACTTAATAATGTCCCCCAAAATACAAGAGCAGTGGTGTTCATAAATCACTTTCACCAAAGAAAAGCACAAAGTGCTTCCTATAGTCAAAAGGCAAAAGTTTATCATACATGTGCTTAGTACAGTACTGTGTGGTTGCAGGCATCTGCTGAAATTCTGGGACTATATCCTTGTGGGTGGGAGGCAGAGGCAGCTGTACAATTACCGCTGCAAGTGATAGAATTACAGCCTACACACCCAGAGTGTCAGTGTCAGCCCCTGCCTCATGGTGGTAAAGAAGACCTACCAATCTTTACACAAAA